AGTCTCTGTTTGACCTGGTTTGGTCTGTTTGTTCTGCCTTGTGGCTACTGGAAACAGGATGTGCCTGCCTGGGGGTTGAGCCTTGCAACAGAACTATTTTATGACTAACAGTTATGCTTGGCTAAAGCATATCATGCTACATTCTTTGTTGTGGGTCTGGTTGCTTGTTTTTTCCCTGGCCTGGAGCCCTGCCTCGACAGGGTCTTGCCGGCCACAACAGTGGAGGGATGATAAGTTTGCATGTTTCTCTTTTATTAGTGTAGATGTTTGGTAAAATTCATCAATGAAGCCATTTGGGCCTGAAGTTTTACTTGTTGAAGAGTTAACTATGATTAAAAATTTTTTTAATGGATAGAGGAATTTTTAGATTAAGTATTTCTTTTTAAGCAAGTTTTGATAACATTTCTTTCCCAAATTTGTGCATTTCAATAATGTTGTTTGATTTATGGGTACAGAGTTGTCAGTAAAATTTGATTACTATTCTTTCAATATCTGTTGGATCTATAATGTTGTCCCTTCTTCAATTCCTGATATTGATCATCTGTTTCTTCTTCTTTTTTTTTTTTTTGTCCAGATCAATCTGGTTATGTGTTTGTGAATTATATTAATCTTTTCATTGAGCCTGGTTTTGGTGTTATTAACTTTCTCTGTTTTTAATTTCATTATTTTCTGTTTATATCAATATTTCTTCCTTTTATTTGCTTTTAGTTAATTTATTTGTCTTTTTCTATTTTCTTAAGATGGAAGTTTAGATCATTTTTCTTGTTTAATATAAACATGTAATTATATATATTTCCCAAGAACTGTTTTAGCTTCTTTCTACAAATTTTGGTTATATGTTGTCATTGTCATTTAGTCAAAATATTTTCTAATTTTTCTGTGACTTCCTCTTTGATCTGAAGATTCATCAGAAGTGATCTAATTTATAGATATTTGGGCATTTTCCATATATTTTTCTGTTACTGATTTTCAGTCAATTTCACTTTGGTAAGAGAATATATTTCATATAAGTTGATAGGTGTGTTTTTTATGTTTTTTTTAATTTATTGAGGTTGGTTTTATGGCTCAGATGTGATCTATCTTGGAGAATATTTCATGTGTACTTGAAAAGGACATGTTGATCTTGTTGGATGGAAGGTTCTATAAACATCAATTTGGTTCATAGTCTTATGTCAACCAGGTGTCTATATCTTTACTGATTTTTTTTTTTTTTTTTTTTTTTGTCTATTCATCTCGTTAGTTAAAGAGAGAAGTGATGAAGTCCCTATTTGTAATTATGAACTTGTCTATTTTTTTACTTCATAGTTTTCTCCTCACTTATTTTAACAGCCTGTTGTTGAGTACATAAACATTCAGGAATATTGTGTGTTTTTTGGAAAATGTATCCCTCATTGTCATGGTACTATACTTTCTTTAACTATATATTCATGTTTAAAGTGGATTTTTAAAAATAGATTTTTATTGATTTCAGAAAGTGAGAGAGACGGAGAGACATCAGTGATGGGAGAAGATCATTGGTTGGCTTCCTACTGAGGATTGAGCCTGCGACCCAAGCATGTGCCCTGTCAGGAAATCAGACTATGACCTCCCTGTTCATAGGTCAATGTTAAGCCATTTCTTGTCTTTTTCACATAATGGTGCAATGAACATGGGTGTATATATGTCTTTTTGAGTTAGTGATTTCATTTTCTTCAAATAAATAGCCAGAAGTAGATTGCTGAATCATGTGGTAGTTCTATGTTTTATTGATTTTTTTACAGAGAGGAAGGGAAAGGGCTAGAGAGTTAGAAATATCTATGAGAGAGAAACATCAATCAGCTGCCTCCTGAACACTCCCTACTGGGGATGTGCCCGCAACCAATGTACATGCCCTTGACTGGAATCGAACCTGGGACCTTTCAGTCCATAGACCAATGCTCTATCCACTGAGCCAAACCGGTTTCGGCGGTAGTTCTATTTTTTAATTTTTTTATGAACCTCTATACTTTTTCTATAGCACTAGCTATACCAATTTACATTTTCACCAACACTTGTTATTTCTAGTCTTTTTGATAATAGCTTTTTGAAGGAATAATCTCATTGTGGTTTTGATTTTCATTTTCATGAGAATTAGTGACACTGAACATCTTTTCATATTCATGTTGACCATCTGTTTATTATTTTTGGAAAAATTTCTATTCAGATTCTCTGCCCAGTTTTTAATCAGATTAATTGTTTTTTTTCTATTGATTTGTATGAGTTCTTTATATATTTTGGATATTCATCTCTTACAGATATATGTTTTACTTATATTTTCTCTATTCAGTAGATTGCCTTTTTATTTTGTTGATGGTTTCCTTTGTTATACAGAGCTTTTTAGTTTGATTTAGTCCCAATTGCTTATTTTTGTTTGGTTGTTTTTGTAACCTTTAATTTTGGTGTCAAATTTAAATAATTTGAGCCTATGTTTTCTTTTAGAAGTTTTGTGGTTTCAGGTCTTACATTTAAGTCTTTAATCCAGTTTTAGTTAGTTTTGGGGTATGATGTATAATTGTGATTCATTCTTTTCTCCTTTGTATGAGGCTATCCAGTTTTCCTAGCAATTACTGAAGAGTCTGTTAATATATTTTTGCCTTCTTTATTGCAAATTAATTAACTATATATGAGTGAGTTTAATTATGGGCTCTCTAGGCTCTTTGATCGGTATGTCTCTTTATGTTAATATCATACCATTTTGATCATTATAGCTTTGTAGTATAGTTTGAAATCAGGGAGCATGATGCCTCCAACTTTGTTCATTTTTCTCAATATTGCTTTGACTATATGGGGTCTTTTGTGCATATAAATTTCAGAATTATTTGTTTCATTTCTGTGAAAAATGTCATCAAGATTTTATAGGGATTGCATTGAATCTGTATATTGCTTTAAGTAGTATGGGCATTTTAACAATATTATACAAATACTAGAGGCCCAGTGCACGAAATTCATGCAAGGGGCTCGGCCCTTGTAGCCATGTCAGCTTGCCTCAGCCCTCGCAGCCCCAACTTCATTGGGAAGGTCTTTCGGCTGTCCAGTCTAATTAGCATATTATGCTTTTGTTATTATAGATATGCAGAACATTCTATCCTAAAGCGATGGAATATACATTATTCTCAAGTGCACATCGAATGTTGTTGAGGATAAATCATATGTCAGTCCTCAAAACAAGTGGTAATTTTTTTTTTTTAATATATTTTATTGATTTTTGTACAGAGGGGAAGGGAGAGAGATAGAGAGTTAGAAACATCGATGAGAGAGAGTCATCGATCAGCTGCCTCCTGCACACCCCCTACTGGGGATATGCCTGCAACCAAGCTACTTGCCCTTGACCGGAATCGAACCCGGGTCCCTTCAGTCCCCAAGCCGACGCTCTATCCATTGAGCCAAACCGGTTTCCGCAAAATTTAAGAAGATTAAAATTATATCAAGTATCTTTTGCAACCACAATAGTATGAAACTAGAAATCAACTTACAAGAAGAAAACCATAAAATTTGCTAATTTGTGGAGAAAAAGCAACATGCTGTTAAACAATCAATGGGTCAAAGAAGAAATCTGAGAAAATTTTTTTAAAAATACCCCGAGATAAGTGAAAATGGAAATAGAACATACCAAAACATCAGGATGCAACAGTAACTGTTGTAAGAGAGAAGTTCACAGAAATAACTGCTTACAAAAAGAAACAAACAACCTAACTTTACACGTTAAGGACCTAGAGAAAGAAAAAAAAAGTACAAAGCATTTAGAAATAAGGAATTAACATAGATCAGAGCTAAAATAAGTGAAACAAAAACTGAAAAGACAATAGGAAATAGTAATGAGTTGATTAGTTAAAAACATAAACAAAATTGACAAATCTTTAGCTAGAGAGAACTCAAATAAAATCTAGAATGAAAGAGATGTTATAACTGATACCACAAAAATACAGATTCACAACAGACTACTATGAACAATTGTACACCAATAAATTTGACAACCTAGAAAAAAACAGATAAATTTCTAGTCATACAATCTGCCAAGACTGAATCATTAAGGAAGAGAAAATCTGAATAGATTACTAGTAAAAAGATTGAATCAATAATAAAAAATTTCCAACAAACAAAAAGGCAAGGTCAGATAGCTTCACTGCTAATTTCTATCGAACATTCTAAGAAAATTAATACCAACTCTTCTTAACTTTTCCAAAAAATAGAAGAGGAGGAAACACTTCCAAACCCATTTTATGAGGCCTGCATCACTGATACTAAAACTAGACAGGGTATCACAAGAAAATTATAGGCCAATATTCCTGACTACTATATAATCAAAAATCCTCAACAAAATAGTAGCAGATCAAATTCAACAATACATTAAAAGGATCATATACCATAATCAAGTGGGATTTGTTCCAGGAATGCAGAGATTCCAGTAGTTTATCATCTACAAATCAATCAATGTGATACACCATATTAACAGAATGAAAGATAAAAATTATATGATCATCTTAATAGATATAGCCAACAGCTGACATCATATTCATCAGGAGAAAGCTAAAAGCTTTTTCTGTTTAGATCAGAGCAAGACAGAGTGCCCACTGTTACCACTTTTATTCAGCTTTTGTAAGTCCTGGCCAGAGTAATTAGGCAAGAAAAAGAAATAAAGGGCATCCAAGTTGGAAAGGGAGAAATAAAACTGTCACTGTTTGCAGATGACATTTTTTAAGGCATTATGAAAGCAAATAAATCTCAAGTACATCTGTTATCTAGAAATGCTTTATTTAATGTAAAGTTATATAAGATAAATACCTGAGATTGGATTTTTTTTATTATTATTATTATTATCGTCTAAAGTTTTATATATGCCTCCTTTTTCTGAGATTGGAATTTAGGAGTTCTGTTTTGGGCTTTTTATCTAGACATTTACCTTTACTTCCTCATTTTATCAAATATCATACATCTTAGGTAATTAGTAAAAATTAATGTTTGATTTCATTTTCTACTTTTAGTGTTAGATGTTTACAAAAGACCGTGAAAGACTCTTATCACATAATGTGTAGACCATGTGCTTGTGAACTTGAAGTTTGCGCAAAATGTGGAAAGAAAGAAGACATTGTTACTCCGTGAGTATTTCTTTTATGTTTGGGTTTTACTGTTTTAGTAATTGGCAGGCCAATTTTATTTAAGGAAATGTTCATTAGCTCTGAGGGTTTTGGTAAGTTTCAGTGTATCACACTAATGTAGACTTTTTCTGCCTAATAGAAAAAAGTCTTAATTTATCATTACAGATTGAAGTGAAACTTTATAAGTAAAACTTTATATTTTTAGGAAATTAAAATATTTATCTATGATGTTCATATTCATTACTCATTATTGAAAAGTTCCTTATTATGTGACTACTTTTCTTTACTGGACATCATGCATTATTTTTTTTGAGCCTACTTTGACAACAGTTAATAACTATATGTTGAAAAATACAGAATAGTAGCAGATCATAATTTATATAATTATAAAGAATTATAATAATATAATTTGATGGGTTTTAACTTAGTCTTCAAGGATTTTTTTCTCTTTACTTATTTTATTAGGCTTCTGTTAATCAGGAAATGTAGTGGAAAGTTATTTTCAGTCTATATATGTAAATAGTGAAAGCCTGGGAAATAAAAAGATTTTTCTTTCCATCTTTAGGTTTAATAAAGAACCAGAAAAGACAGAAAACAATGAAAATAATCCACATTTCAGTTGTAGAAGAAGCTGCAGAAGAAATAAAGAAGAAAGTGATGATTTAGATTTTAATATTGATTTAGATGACTCAGAAGAAGATGATAATCAAATAGATTAATGTATTAAAATCAGTGTGAAAACATGAAATTCTGAACAATTTTAGACTTTGAGTGTTTTATAGAAAAATACTGTGAAATCCTAATAAAGAATTTAGAACGACCTATAGAAAATGATAACATTTATACTTGGACAATATAAATTGTGTATAATACTTGAACAAATATAAAGCTTTTGCAGAGTTTTCTTACAATAGATTTCCAAGTAACATAAGCTAAAAGATCTGCCAAGTGAGCATTGGGGTATCATAATGCAGTTCATGGGAATTATGTAGAAGAATGTCAAAGTAACAAGATTCAGAATTGACGATTTTGTAAGAACTATCTCATAGAAAAAATTACATGACATTGTTAGCCTCAAAAATTGGTCCTCAGGTATGTACTTTTTGATAAATTTACCTCAAGTGACGTACCCATAAACAAAAGCCTCCTTCCTTAGTGTTTGGCTGCTTTATAAAGCAAAAAGTTAATTTTTAAAATAATAATGTTTAACAAGTATGTAGCAGTTTTTTAAAATGTATTTTATCATCACATTGTAACCTTTTTTCTTTTATAAAATATACATACAGAAAACTGCATAAAATATATATGTATAGTTTAGTAAATACTTCTAAAGGAAACTCAAACATATATCACACAGATGAAGAAACTACTAAAAAATGTAAATTAACTTTATCTGATTTTTTGAACTTTTTTCTTTTTATTATGAAAAATCTCAAACCTAAAGAAAAGCAGCAAAATAATGCAATGAACCTTTGTATAATCCTACCTAGATTCATATTTGTTAACAGTTTGCCCTTTTGTCTGAATAGGTGGATATGGATATATATTTTATTTGCTGAACCATTTAAAAATAAGTGGCAGGCATTAGTTTTGAATGCACTTTTTGCACGTTATTTTGTACCTCTTTTATTAATATGAAATTTGTGAGATTGATTCAGGTTGTTGCAAAAGCTGTCACTAGTTCATTTAGATGTCTCTGTTTTATTCTATTATATTTATGCACCACAATTTATATTATATTCTATAATGTTGACACACATTTGTTATCTCAATTTTCCTCTATTATAAGCAATACTGCTTAGAGCATTGTTATATGTGTTTTTAGTACACGTTTTATTTCTTGGCACACATTTTTGTATACATGAATCTAGCAGTGGTCGAGGGCATCAGTAATGCTAAAGTGCCAGCTGTCTTTCCAGAAGGACTGCCTTCTCCCTTCCCCACAGCAATGTATCAGAGTTCCAGTGCTCTGCATTGTTTCTAACATTTGGTATCAGATTGATGAATTTCTGTCAGTTTGGTAAGTGTGCAGTATACATTTTGCCTCGTTAAGAGTGTAATGTCAATTTAAAATATTTCAACATAGTCCTTGCCTGGGTAGCTCAGTTAGTTAGAGTGTTGTCCTGATACACCAAGATTGTGAGTTCTATCCCCCGTCAGGGCACATACAAAAAGTAACCGATGAATGCATCAATACATGGAACAACAAATCAATGTTTCCCTCTCTCTGTCTCTGTCTCCCTCTCTGAAAAATCAATCGGTAAAAAAAAAAAGTTTTGAAAATTTTTAACATAAAAAAGTAAAGACAGATAACATTACAGTGGCAACAAAGATATGTTAACCAAAATAAATTTTAAAAATACTCAAGAACTCTGTCAACAAAATCTTATCAAGACATTAAAGAAAATGGAGACAAAAATAGAGAAAGATGAAATAAGTAGAGAGAGATGCCATGTTCATTATGTGGAAGTCTCAATACTCTAACCTTACAGTCTTACTAAAAATTTCTTTGGGTGGCTTACCTGTTTGCATATAAATTTATTTTCTGGACTGTATAACTTTTGTGGCTAAAGAGACTACTGAATTTTTATTAGGCCTACAATAAGTTCTTTCCCATCTGAGTAAGTAGTAATTCCTCAGATTACCAGGAGGGAAATTTAACAAACAGCATCACCTAGTGACACCTACTAATATCTGCATTTCGTTCTTTAGTGCTAACAAATATTGTGTTTTCTTTTAACAGACTTCAATTTAATTGTTATATGTAGATCATTTTTTAAAAAAATTACTTTTATTGATTTTTAAAGAGAAAGAAAGGGAGAGAGAATAAACATCAATGTGAGAGTGGCTGGCTACCTCCTGTATGCCCTCTACCAGGGATTGACCCCACAACCTGTGCCCTGACTGGGAATCGAACTGGCAACCCTTCTGTGCATGGGATGACACCCAATCAATGAGCCACACCAGCTAGGGCTATTTAGTTTATTTTCATTTATTTATTTAGGAATTATCCTTTCTAATCCAAAAAGGTGTGTGTGTCTGTGTGTGTGTGTGTGTGTGTGTGTGTGTGTGTGTGTGTGTATGTTTAATTGAAGCCCAACATGGATCTAAATCTTGGCTCAGTCAATAGTTATAGGACTTGATACAAAGTAGTTTTTCTGTGCCTTGATTTCTAAGAGGTGGTTAAAAGGATTAAATGCATTAATATGTAAAATACTTAGAACCTGTAAAACCACTACACAAGTGTTATTATTGCTACTATTGAGTGTATATGTATAAATTAATTAGTAACGAGCATCAATTTGATTGTTTGCCTATATTCTACAAAAGAAGACATATGTATCTGGAATGCAGAAAAAATATATGTGTGTGTGTGTGTGTGTGTGTGTGTGTGTGTGTGTGTGTGTGTGTGTATGTATTCCTGTTGATGCCAGAGGAATTCAAGGACCAGACTTGGTTTGTCGGGTGCCACTGAAAGAAGCATTTCAGAAGCCCCCACTGGAGGCTGGGATGTGGAAACAGGCTTTATTGGCATGGAGTTACATTTCTTGGGTTCCAAAGTCCCCTGTTTCTTAAGCCAGTCCTGGAAAAGGTGTAGCTGGGAGTCCAGCAAAGTCAGAAACAAGGGCAGCGTCCACAGCTCCTGTTCCATGTTGTAGCTGGGTGTGGTTCAGCATTCAGGCTAATTAAAGTTTATTATTCCATGAATGGAGCCCAACATGGCTGTGTGCCATGCAGGTGCAGGAGACTCAGCCCCCTGCAGCAGGAGTTCCAGGAGCCAGAGACCTGAGCCTTCTTTGTCTATATATATATATATATTTAGATTTCATGCACATGTAATGGCCATGTCCATGCTGGCCAATTTCCTGTTTCCAGGTGTGATTGACAGGCAAACGTTTTCTCATGTTACGCAGGCCTTGTTGGGCATGCATCTGATCAGCAGAGAATAGACTTGGAGAGTGCTAAATGCATTTTTTCCCACAAAATTGTAGAAATGGCCTGTCTGTATCTAGCTTCCCGGTTACTCCTTTCCTGCTAAATAACAATCTGGTTTCAGAGTCTGTGTTTTTTTTAATTTAACTACCGCCCCATAGTACCACTGTGTTCACATGTCAAAAGCATTTCTAGGTAAATAGAGAAAGCTATATTATAGGTAGGATATGGCACAAGCAAGTTATTAGGTAGCTAAGAAGGCTTGGATTAATAATGGTAACAATATAATGGTTAACATTCATTCATTCAACAAATCATCTTTGAGCACCTATCTGTGTGAAACACTGTTCAAAATACTTGGGGTACAGCACTCAACAAAACAAATGTCCTTTCAGTGGGTAAAGACAGACAATAGTAGTAAACATAATAAGTAAATTATATATTAGAAGGTGAAAGGTTCTATGAGAAAAAATAAGGCATGGTGGTGTGATTGAAAGTCTAAGGGCATGAATGGCGTGGAGAGGAGGGTGCACAGGTGGGTGGGAAGTAGGCTATGATCTTCATATATAAAAGCCAAGCATCAAGAATGACTGGAATGGCTGGTTGCTATGATGCACACCGCAGCGGCAACTAGCCCGATTGGGGCACCAATTGCCCCCTCCCCCCAATTGCCCACGGTCCCTCCCCCTGCTGGCTCCACTCCCAATCGGGGGTGGGACCAGCCTTGGCCCCAGTTGGTCCTCCCCTCAGGGTTGGGGCCAGCTGACCTCCCACATCCTGTCCCCTCTACCAGCCCAGCCCAATGGCCCCCATTGGGGCAGGCTGGCCAGACCTCACCTATACATGAATTCGTGCACCGGGCCTCTAGTGTTTAAATAAAGTGTCTGCAGAGACATTTTTGGGGAGAATGTTCCAGGCCAAGGAAACAGCCACTACAAGGACTTTAACCCAAGATTTGCCAAGAATGTTTATGGAACAGCAAGGAAGAGAGTGATTAAGGAAGAGAGTCCTATGAGGTAAGATCACATGCTTTTAATATGTTTTCTATCTTTGATTTTCATGCATTTGACTATAATTTCTAAGTTGTGAATTTCTTATTTATGCCACCTAAGGTTTTCTGACCTCTATTGGTCAATGTCCTTACACCAACTTGGAAAATGGTTGATCATTATATCTTCAAATACTGCTTTTTCTTGTTATTGCCTCTGCTTCCAGATAGATTTACTGTTGGAACTTTTTTATTCCTGTCTTTCTCGTGCTCTGTTTTCTTTTCTTTTTTTCTTTTTTTACATTTTTTTTTCTGTGCTTCAATTTATATATTTTCTATTGTTTGGTCTGACACTTTTATAATAGGATTAATGTGTTCAGTCTGCTTTTAAATCCATCTAATAAATTCTTAACTTCAGATACTAAATTTTGCAGTTCTAAAATGTCCATCTGAATCTTTTTATAGATTTTTTTTTTTTTTTTTTTTTTTTTTTTTTTTTTTTTTTTACAGCACTGTGCAGTTTTATTAACCATTCAAGTACAGTAGCATCTGGTAAGATCGGGACAGAATTGGGATTTAAAAGGGAACAGATATTCAGCATCTAACAATTTAAAAGCAACCACTACATACTCTTTTCACAAACATGTTTTCACAGAGCCAAAACAGCACTAGCCATTGACCCAGCACACCAAGTGTACTGAAGTAGAAAAGGTACAACAAGAAAAATAGCTACATTAGAAAGACCTCAACACTTTAGAAAAAGCGTAAAACACTTTCAGTTTCTCCCCTTTATCCCCTAAAACAACATCATACAGTCTGGATCTACCTATGGTCCTACATCAATCAGCTTCTAAATATTTGTCAGGAGGGCAAAAATAAAATGACACTGGCCAGTACAGTCTTTGGATATTTAGGAAGGGGAGGGGGAGAAAATCAGTTCTCAAAACAAATTAGTCAGCTTCAGTCTCGTCAGCAGGATCTTTGGATTCTTTGTTCTTCCGCACTTCTTCAATGTGCTTGTCCTTCTCTCGCAAACGCTCCAGTTTGGCAGCCATCTGTGCCTCTCGGTTCTCCTTGTTGGCTTCTATTTTGTGGGTCAGTTTTTCCTCTGCCATTTTACTGAAGTTGTTGTTCTCCTCGATGGCTTTCTGAAGCACTTCTTTCTCGTGCTCTCGTTTCTCAGCAAGCTGCTTCAAGACCTCAGCTTCATGGGACTTGCGTCTTTCTTCTTCCGCTTCTAATTTCTTCTGAATTTCCTCCAGGGAAAGATCCTTCTTCTTTGGAGGGGAAAGGGGGAATTCTGGGACGGGTTCTTTTGATCGAGGGCTGAGAATCAGCCCAAAAGCCTGGCCTGAAGCACGCTTCTCCAGTTCTTTCACCTGGATATCAGAAGAAGCCATGGTGAACAGAAGACAAGAGCCTGGCAATATATTCTACACAATCCACTGGCAAGGGAAGCCCTGCCCGGTCCGAGCCGCCTGGCTGCACTCTCTTTTTATAGATTTTAATTGTGTTAAAAGATTGCATGTTACCTTTCTTGTCCATATTTTTCCTCTATTTTCTTGACATTAATGTAGCTATATCGAAGTCCTTGTTCACTTTTGTTTGCTTATAATAGATTATTTTATCTCTTGATTTTCAGTCACTATCCCCAGCTTTGCATGTCTAATGATTTTTATTGTATGCTAGAAATTATAGAGGCTCCCTCTCAAAAATGAATTACTATAGATCACCTTGCTCCTGTCAGAGCTTGGGCTTAAAATTTGTTAGAGGTGGTCTATTTCAGCTTCACACTTCTTCCTAGATGTCCTCATTTCTTTCTCTTACTCCTCGTGTGTTGTCTTTATTCCTAAGAATGTATTCTCTGGGGTCTTAATGCCAAGAGTATTCATTAAGGTCTCACCACCCGGGTAAGCCCAGACTCAAGTGCGGGGACCTCGGTAGTCTCTGTCCAGCTCTGAGCCTCTGGCAGCTGTTCTCTGTGAGGACTGCTGGAGTTTTAAAAGGCTCCGGAGTGACCAGAGTGGAAAGAAAATCAAGAAAGGTGTCCTAGAAGGCCAGGGGCACATGCATTGATGTATCCTGGCACTGCACTAAACTACGCCCTTTACATGAGAAGCTCATTGAATATTTACTATGGCCTTGCGTAGCGATAACTAACATGATTTACCAGTTCATGTATAGATAAGAAACTGAGGTTAAGTGATTTGGCATACAGCTAAACACTGTATAGGTTTTGAACCTATACGATCATCTGATCCCAGAACCTGTTCTGCACATTAGGGCTAGTGTGCATACTAATATGTGAGTTGCTAAATGGATAACACCATTATTTCCTTTTTAATATATATATATATATTTTATTGATTATTTTTACAGAGGAAGGGAGAGAGAGTTAGAAACATCGATCAGCTTCCTCCTGCACACCCCCTACTGTGGATGTGCCCACAACCAAGGTACATGCCCTTGACCTGAATCGAACCTGGGACCCTTCAGCCTGCAGGCCAACGGAGCCAAACCGATTAGGGCTCCACTGTTTTCAATACTGCTATTTCAGGACTCTGCTGATAGGCCCTCTGTCACGATCTCATTTCTGTTAGACAATTTAGCAGTGTTTCCCAAAGTATGGTACGCGTACCCCCAGGAGTATGGGAAGAGTTTGGTGGAGGTACGCATTTTACCGGAGTTTGGTGGAAATATGCACTGCACCATGCTTAGCTGCACCTAATTCTACCTTCTCATGAGTATGAGGGGTAATAAGCGTTATGAAAATTATAGAAGGAGTACACATACGTCAAAAATTTGGAAAACACTGATTTAGAGCTTTCTCTCTCCCTCTTTTTTTTTTTTTTTTTTTTGTGTGTGTGTGTGTGTGTGTGTGTGTGTGTCTGAAGAACTGTTGGTTCCCAGGCATCATTAGAGAATGCTTAGGTTTTTAGCTGTTGCTGATACAACTGAATTCACTTTTTTTTAATTCTTCCCTAACGACTATTGATTTCCACATATTAATCATAACACCTGTAATCTTTCTAATTAGGTGATGTCACTTTATTGTAAAACCTACTTGAGTAATAGAAGGAATATAGGTGTTTGTAACAATTCTGGATATGTCTGTAGCTGTACTGACTAACGATGTTCTGAGTAAGTATTTTTCATCTTTCAGGTGACTAAACTGAGGCTCAGAGGTTTAATAATTTGCCAAAGTAAAAAAGATAATGTTGAGATTCATACCAAGTCTTTGTGGCTCCAAAGCCTATATTATTTCAACTACAAATAACATTTTATATTCCTAAACATTTTGGGATTTTTCTTAAGTGAAATTTGTAATATCATTAATTCAAACACACCTCTGTCCCTTCCTTTCATCCTTTCTAAGTCTTTTCCTTCCCTGGTAACATTAGTCTTCTACTGAATGGTTGTCTAGTTAAGAAGTTACATTAAAAAGGAAAAAAAATATATTATAGCCATCCTCTATATTACTGTGGTATAGATTTTTGTCACTCATTTTGTTCAGATTTGTTAATAATATTAAGTGTTGCAAGTCTACTTTCCACAATTTTTACTGACAACCCTTATGAAGTCAGGGGGATATGCTGGGATTACTTGCTCAACTCTATCCAAGGGATCCCACATTTTTATCGGTAATTATACATATGGAAAAAATTACAGTTTTCCCAAATCTCATCTACAAGACTTTTTAAAGAATTGAAGCACCAGGCTTTCAAAAGATAGTACTACATAAAATTACACATGCATTTTCACCTTTTATTTCTATATTATCTTTTAATATTTTTTATAAACTTAAAATTTGTTTTATTTTAAAGAAAATAATTTGTTTTATATATTTTATAGTTGGTAGTTGGTATTAATGTAGAAGGTTTTAAAAAATATATTGGATATGAAAATACAGTTTGCATCTAAGTGTTAAGTTGACTAAGCGATATTTTTCACCAAAATCCAGTTTAGAAGTTTCTGAAACCTCGAACAACATTAATTTGAAGTATATAAATTAACTTCTCCATTTTGAGGCAAGGGAAAATTAACTTTTCCATTTTGTACATTGTGTACATTGATGAACCTCACAAATAAGATGAGCAAAAGAATCTACATACAAGAGATTATACACTTTATGATCTTATATGAAGTTCAAAAATATTCAAAACTAACTTATGGGATAAACATCAGAATAGTGGTTTCCTTTGGGATTGTGGACTGACCAGGCAGGGGCATGAGGGAACCTCTGGAGTGCTGGAATCACCCGTATCTTCATCAAGGATCTAAAGTCTAGGTGATGGTTACACAAGTGCCTAGAAATATAAAGTGTAACACTTAGAATTTGTTCACTTTATTGTGTGTAAATTTCACCTGAATTCAAAAGTAATTATAAGCCCTAGCTAGTTTGGCTCAGTGGCTAAAGTATCAGTCCACGGACTAAAGGGTCCTGGCTCTGATTCCAGTCAAGGGCATGTATCTCGGTTGCAGGCTCCATCCCCCAGTTCTGGTTGGGACATGTGCAGGAGGTGTTTCTCTCTCTGTGTCTCTTCCTCTCCTTCCACTCTCTCTAAAAATTAATGGGAAAATATCCTCAGATGAGGATAAAGATAAATAAATAAGTAAATAAATAAATAGTGGGGGGTTTTCAGTAATTATAATATTTCATTTTAAAAATTAAAAGTACACTGCTGTCAAATCCATGCCTTGAGATAAATCTTAACTTCAGGAAGAGTAGGAGATGGAGGCACTCCAGGAGTGTAGGACACACATTTGTTTGAATCCTAACCCTGCTTCTTACTGGTCAGGTGGCCCTGGCTCAATGTCCTTACCCATGTGAGGTTACCTTATGTGTACCTTAAGTACCTTGAAAACAAGGACAGTGATTTTTATAGTAGAAATTGCTGTGAGTATTAAATATAGTACCCTTATAGCTCCTGGCCCATAGGAGGTGCTCCATTTATGGTACTTATTATCTTTCATCTGTAAGAGGTTTTTTCTCTTACCATTATGAAGGAAAATGATGGTAACATGGGGAACAGCAACCTGAATGTCTGAGAGAGGAAATGAATGGGCCCCCGGGGAAATTGCTAGGACCAGCTGCAGTCAGGAAAGATGGTCTCCTGCGGCCCAGAGTTGACGTCCCTCAGCAGAGGATATGACAGCATGTCCGCAGAGGCAGGAAACAGCAGGTAACCTAACTTTTAAACCATTTACACTGATGGATAGTATACACCGTATGTTTTCTGGGGAAGTGCTCTAAATGAAAAGCTATAGGTGTCCAAATGTTATTCTGGGAAAATATTTAATTAATATATTAAGAATATCTAGAACATCTGGAAACACTGGGAGAATCGTGTATTTACTACACTTTACCCCAAAGCATACTGAACATGCTATTTGGAAATGCACCGAACAGTTACACACTGCTTCAAAATAGATTTCCTCTATGTTTCTCACCTTCACAGCACTAATGGCCAGTGACAAAAACAAGGCTTACTGAAAGAAGCAAGAATTTCTTATAAATCAGTTGGAAACAGTTTTGGAATCCATTTCTTGGCAATGGAAATAGTACATTTCGAATCCTATTAGGTGATGGATTTACATATGGGAAGCACTCAATTGGTCGTTCTGGAAACACTTAGTGATGCCGCACCACTGTTGGTAAAGTTGAGAGGATATCCTACGGAAAGTGAAAATCCCAGAGGGAGGAAGCCACGTGGGTGCCTGTTGTCTCTGCCAGTCACGATCACTTAATACACATCTGAACTGTAGAATTGTGGAGACCCAGCTGGTTTCAACTGAAATGGGTTCCCTGGGATGGATTGCAGCCAAAACAGAAATCTGGTGGAGCCCAGATGTCACTTAATTCTAATGAACACCTAGATACTGTCTGAGGTCTCTTACAACTAAAGCCCCCTGTTTCCAAATGCAAATGCTCCTCCCATCCAGACCTGCTGGCTTGTTAGGCCACTAGGTGTTGCTATATAATAGAGAAGGAAAAGCATTTTCAAAACTTTGCCACTGGATATACAGAGGAGGAAAATATGTTTCTTGATTTCTAATATGTCATTCTGTGATTCAGACCAGAGTACAATTTGTTAAATGTTCACTTGCAATTTGTCCAATTTTATTAAAAGGAATTAAATAGCCCTCAATAACAAACTGAATAAATTCTGGTAAATACAATAGAATACTCCTCAGCAATAACAATAAACTAGTGAGATACTCAACAACAATACCAAATCTCACAAGTTAATGATGAAAAAACAAACAAACTGGATGCAAAATAGAAATACTGCATGATTCCAGTTAAAAGAAAACAAACAAACAAAAAACAACAGGCAAAAGTAGCCCTGACCAGTGTGGCTCTGTTGGTTGGAGCATTGTCCTTTACGCCAAAAGGGGG